CCCAGTCAATTCCACCCCCCCTTCTCTGTCAATATTGGTCCGCGGGTACAGGTAGCTTTTGTTTCCTGTACCCGGCCGGACTAACAGGAAGTGCACACTTAGTGTGCACTTCCTGTTAGTCTGGCCGGGTACAGGAGACAGATGCCCTGTACCCGCGGACCAATAGAGGGCTCGGCCACGCTACAGTGAGGGAGTGACAGGAGGGAGCGCTGAGCTCATGGACACACCGCCCGGGCAAAGCTGCAGCCGCCTGAGGCTCTCTACAGAGCGCTCGGGCAGCTGCAGCATGAGGGGGGCCGGCGCTCCTGACGGCGCCCCTTCCCAAGGCGCGCCCTATGCGGCTGCCTAGTCCGTCTAACAGGTAGCGCCGGCCCTGCAGGGATGAGGAGTGAATGGACTCTAAGATTTCACTGTCAGCATTACATTAGCATTTCAGAGATTGATAAGATTTGCTAAAACAGTTTTACGTACATTTATATTGGAAATATATGATGTAACTGTATTTACTGTATGTGGGCAATATGCTCAAATGCAGACATTCTTTTTCTGTTGCAGTTTTTTGTAAGCTGCACTGCAAGTAATGGCTTCAGGGTCCTTATAAATACTTATAGGCAACGTTTTTGACCATTTTCATTTATATGTTTTTTGTCATACCAGACTGTGTAAAATATTGCAAGATGAAGGACACTGTATACTGTCTAAAACTTTTCATTTACCAAATATTTTAGTGTAATAGAGGATGAACCAATAAATTAACCTTGTGTAAATTTACATATCTTTAATTTTTAAGTTTACCTGCAAAGCAATCAATACACAAAATTGGTGTGTTGTGATATGTTTAGATGCTAGCATCTCTTGTTTCAAATAAATCTTTTTTTTCCATTTAAAAGTGCTTTGTAGTGAAACAGTGAAAAACTAACTTTCTTAGATTTGATTGTCTTCTTTTCCCTATTTTACAGCGCTGTTGACTATGTTGCTGCTATATAAGTAATTGTAATTATGTATGTGATTCATTTAAGGGAACAGGAGATAAGGAGTTCTAAATGGAACAAATGCAGTGTGCTGTAAGATCTGATTGAAAATGAAACTCCTCCCCCGTGCCCCAACGAGTGAGACCACATAGGCATGATCTATACACCAAAACTGTTTCATTAAGCTAAAGTTGTGTTGGTGCTTAGAGTGCTCTTTTAAACACTCAATGTTTCCTTGAACAGACCGTTTTTATGATAACAGAGAAGTAGGAGGTTTTTCAGAGTCTCTGGGGGACTTGGAAAATTTGCAGGGTAAAATGCATATTTATTGAATAGATATGATATTTGTGGCAAACTCACCGATTTAAGTGTGCCATGAGTTTTTGGAGGGGTCTGCTTGCCCGCCTCCTGCCTCATGACTATGGCCCTGGGGTGTATGGCACTTTAAGAAACTACTTGGGGCTTATGGACTTCTATTGGGCTGTGTATGGCACTTTAAGAAACTTACTTGGGGCTTATGGACTTCTATTGGACTGTGTATGGCCCTTTAAGAACTGCATTTGGGCTTATGGACTTGTATTGGACCGTGCTGGCCCTTTAAGAACCATCTGGGGACATATTGAGACTTTGTGTGACAATGCCCCTTTAAGACTATGTCCCCAGTCCTTTAAAATCCTTTGTGCAGGGCTTTCTCCCACTTGGCTCAGTAAATGGGGCTTACTGAACCAAGTGCTACACAGGCCGACCACCCAGAAGTGGAAGCGTGCAGGCAATTTACCTCCCAGGCTGGGAGCCTGCTGTAGGTAAATTGCCGACCGCTGGGGGGCAGCCATTCGTACAAACGAACACGTGGCGGCGGCCATCTTTATTCAGCCGAACGCGGTCAGAGGTGTGTTCAGCCAAATTCATGGAACTGAAATCGGCTACACATTTCAACGCTTACCTTCTCCTATACTTAGACTCTGCGGCTGGAAACTAAGTCTCATTCGGCAATTTGAATGTACTGCAATACTGAACCAATCGCACAAGTGGTGCCCCGTTTGTGCATTCGAATGGGACTTAGTAATTTTTTCTGCTTGAAATAGACCGACCGCACAGCCCAAATCTATGAAACTGTTTTGGGCATTAAAAAAATGTGCTTGCAGTCGGTCAGAAAGGACTTCCAGTTAACTTTTTAACCGCTGGAGGGATTGGTATGATTTTTGAGTGTGTTTATATTTAAAGTATGCTGATTATTAATATGTCATTTTTATGAAGATTGCATGTATAGTTTTAAAGTTATAGTACATGTATAAAAAGTATATTTTTCCTGCCTGTGATAATTACATTAACCCATTGTGTTCAGTAATTATATCACAGGCAGATGGGAGGATTTTGTGGGAATGATTGGGAGTGTTTTACTATATTGTACGTGTTGGATTGGTTGTTCTTCAAAACCCTGTGGGCGGTACTATGTGTGTAAAATGTGCATAAAAGCAGAGTGTTTCATTAAAACTTCAGTTCTACGTCACCCTCAATTTGGAGTTCCGTCTCTAATTAGGGGAATCTGCTACAAGGGATTGCTATACTAGTCATACTCTCTTGCTATATCACTACTAAGCTCTTGTAAGAGCGTGTTCCTGTCTTGCTCTCTGAAGGAGTCTACGGGTGGTTATGGTGTCGGCTGGAGTGCTTGGAGACCTCAGGAAGCACTAGGAGCATCCTTCAACGGAGGTACCCAGTCGGGGTGCAAGGTGATCCGTTACAATATTAAAGGGGAACTTCTCTGGAAATACTTTTGAATAATCATTTAGTATCACCTATAACTTGTGTTAACCAGTTCAGCCCAGGCACAGCTATGGCACACAGTGCATTGACGAAGGCGAAACAGAAGAATTAATTTTTCTACTTCTCTCTGTATGCTGTAAAACACAATAAAATACATAACTTATATTCCACAGAACGGAACCCCCACATATCCCCAGGTAGCTGGGATCTGAGCGCTCAATATATCCGAACCGCGCTCAGATCCCACGAACATAGTCGAATTCCCATGGGGTTCAAGTGTTTATGGAAGTCTCGTTTGACTGACCGCAAGCATGGCTTTCCTACCCAAAATAGTTCCACAGATTTTGGCTGTGCGGCCGGTCTATTTCCAATAGTTAAGTTCTGTTTGAATGCATGAACGGGCCGTTCGTGCAAATAGCCAAAGTTAAAGTGGCGTTTGAATTTTTAAACACAGTTTAACTCCCGTCGAAGCGTCAAGTTCTGGAGAAGGTAAAGTTCAGCGGTGTTTGTGCCGTTGTGTGTCTGATTTGAGTTCCATGAACTCGACAACCAAACACCGCTGAACGCGTTCGACTAAACAAGATGGCCGAGGCCACGTGTTCGACTATACGGCCACGGCCACGTGTTTGCCACCCAGCCGTTCGTCAATTTGGCTGCGGTTAACCACAGCTCCTGGGAGGTAAATGAGTTGCACACTCCACTTGTGTGAGGTCCGGCTATTCGGTGGTTTGAAGTTTCACTTCAAACACTTTGAAAGTTTAAAGGGGCATTGTGCCAAGTCCCAATATACCCAAATAGTGTCCTTAAAGGGCAATACACCCTAGGAGCCATAGTCACAGGGCAAGAGGCTGGCAAGTTCCAGTGCCGAAGGTGCTTTCGTCACACAAGTAGTAAATACAAAGATTAGGTAAATAAGCATACCATGCCAATGAGCAATAAATACATAAATTTGATATATCATTCCAATGTAAATGCATAAACTTGGTAAATCGTGCCAATTAGCATTAAATGCATAAACTTGGTATATCTTGCCAATCAGCAGTAAATCCATACAATTTGTATATCATACCAATGAGCCACACGTACATCCAAAAAGCCTGCTAGTGCCATGTGTCACCTAACAACCCTTAGCCTTTCTGTGCCACCTCTCTTCCACCAGACTCTTTGTGCCACTTCTCTTCCACCAGACTCTTATTGCCATCTTTCCTCCTCCAGCGAGTGTGCCAGTGTGTGTGGGAGTGTGACAGTGAGTGTGGGAGATGGTGACAGTGTGTGTAGGGGGTGGCAGTGTGTGGGGATTGTGACAGACAGTGTGTGTGGGGCTAGTGACAGTGTGTGGGGATGGTGACATACAGTGTGTGTGTGTGTGGGGGGGTGCTATTATAGTGTGGGAGGGTGACAGCGTGTGGGGATGGTGACAGTGTGTGAGGGTACAGACAGTATGTGTGGGGGTGGTTACAGTGTGTAAAGGGGTTAAAATGTGTGGGCGGTTAACAGTGTGTGGTGATGGTACAGACAGTATGTGTAGTGGGTGGAGACAGTGTGTAAGAAGGTTACAATATGTGGGAGGTTAATAGCATGTGGGGGGTATTATAGTATGGGAGGTTGACAGCGTGTGGGATGGTGACTGTGTGAGAAGGTGACAACGTGTGGGAGGTTGACAGCATGTGGGGATGGTGACTGTGTGGGAGTTGGTGACAGTGTGTTTGTGATGGTGACAGAAGAACTCCAAGTCTTCTTTTTACTCATGATTACAGTTAGCGAAGAGGGAGGCTTGGCTGCAAACCCTAATGGTTATTCATTAAACTCCAAAGGGGGAATTTAAATCCAAACTGAAAATGTAGGATAAAATAGCCAATCTGGTACTATAGATGAGTTGTAGAATCTTTCTAGATTTTGATTTCTTGAGAAAGGTATGTTTCTTTCCAAGCCAGTTTTGTGAATGGGTAGTCACTGATTGGCTGAGAGTGTTAGCTGTCCACTCTGGTGGCACTCTGCGCTTCCTGAATCTGAAATTGCTAAAGCCCGGTGCAGCCTGGGGAAGAATGGACATTGGCGCCGTAGAAGGGTTTAACCCCTTGAGGTAAGAGTGGCCCTGCTGGAACCATAACAACTTAATTTAGATGAAGCAGTTTTGGTGTATAGATCATGTCTCTGCTGTTTCACTTCTCAACTCTCTGACATTTCGGAGATAAACCATTTTTGTTTTTGTTTAATTGGCCTTAGCCACACCTCCCCTGGTTGTGGTTGACACAGTCTGTATGAAGACAATTGTTTCATTTTCAATGAAATGTTGATTTAGTTTGTATCTCCTGCTCTGTAAATTGAAGGAGGTGGGGCTGGAGACATACACCTCACTGGCCAATCAGCATCTACACATAAAGATGCCTTGAATCAGTGCATTTATATGAGGTAAGTTCGGCACTTCCATGCAGAGCGTGGAGATGATGAACGTCACTGCTGCACAGCACTACCCAGGAACCACTTCTACTGGAACCACTGAGTGACTGCCACAGGAGGTGTCCATAGACAGCAATGTAAACAAGCAATGAACAGGCGGTGTTTACATTAATAGGAAACTATAGTGACAGGAAAACAAAATAGTTTTCCTGCCACTATAACTCCCTATAGTGCCCCTCTATGTCAAGACCCCCATACCACCTGGTGTCACTTACCTGAGTCCTTTGTCACTTGGAGATGACTCCAGCTCCGCCTCTCCTCCACTGACGTCAGCAGGTGGCGGAGACCTAATGCGCATGGGCTGCAATGGCTGTGCTCTCATTAGGACTGCCATCATATGAAAGCATTGCTTTCCTATGGGGTTTAGGGTGACGTTGGATGTCCTTATGCATAGCATTACAACATCCAGAGTCAAAAGACCAAAAGTCACCTAACGACCCGGAAGTCCCTCTACTGACTGTTTGGTAGACAGCCACTAGTGGTGGAGTTAACCCACAAAGTTTATTATTGCAGTTTATTAAAAACTGCAATACTTACATTTGCAGAGTTAAGGGACACGGACACTGCACCCAGACCACTTCAATGAGCTGAGGTGGTCTGGGTACCAATAGTGTCCCTTTAAGCTAAATTTATTTTGTGGTTATAGTGTCCCTTTAAAGTACTACATGTTAGTAGTTGCCCATCAAATGGGAACAGTTTTTTTTTGTGATGTTTCAGACATATTAACTGGCGAGAAGAGCTATCTGAGGAGACTAGAATGTATTTTTTATCAGCAGAAGTAGTCAAATGGAGAATATCTGGCTATTGTAAATCTACAACTCACGTACACACACTGGCACATACACACTCTCACAGTCAGATACACACACAGACATACAAATACACACACTGGCACATATACAAACTCAGATACACACACAGACTGGCACATACACCCACACTCAGATACACACATTGGCACATGCACACACAGAGATACACAAACTGGCACATACACACAATATGATAAACACTATGCCAAAGCGGATCCTCCCACTACTTCTTGAAACCCTGTGAAGGGGGAGCATGTCGACGGAAGACTGAGCTCCTCCAACGACCTCTCTGAGTCCCAGCCGGGTACATTTTAGTAGAGTAGGCACCTGTAATGTGGAGAAAACAGGTGACTCCTCTGCTTTAACACTAATCATGTACTCACGGCTCATCGGACCGTAAAGATGTTCATTGTGGGCCGCGAGTTTGACATGCTTGCTCTAGTCAGACGGCCCCACTAATCTAGAACCAATTACCTGGGTTAGGTGATGACAGGGGCAGCAAAATGCCACCCATTTCAGAGTGCAGCCTGGAGCCATGACCCAACCTGGGCTTATGGACAGACCGGCCCTGAGTGCGATGTTTCAAGCTGAAACACTGCACATCCAGACTCCTATCACCAAGAACAGTTCAAATAACTGAAAGGGTCATGGTGGTTGAAGTAACCCTTTGGCATGGGTGAGAGAAAGGGAAGGACTGCTTTATTATAACAACCCAGGCTGGAAGGACAATGGATGCCAGACACAAAGAGGTAAGTGGCATTTCAATGAGGGAATATTGCAGTGTATCAGCTGTCACAGTAGTCTTTCTCAAGCCTTTTCTTTCTGTGTACTGCATTCACTGATTACCATTAAAGGGCCCTGGATACTCCAGGAAACATGGCCACTATAGTACTTTCTAGTGGTTATGGTGCTACAGTGTGCCTCTAATTCTCCACTTTTCACAATCATCAGAGTTCACATGAAAATTGCCCAAGTGAATTCCAGTTAAATGTTTTATTTTAGACCAAAATAGCCAGCCTGGAAGGATAGTGAATTTGGAGAATTCTTTCAATTCAACTCCTTTTCCTTAAAATTTAAATTCAGTTTGAATTCCTGACAATTCTCACTTTAGTACATATTGTATTAACGTTTTCTAAACATGGTTAGAGCTAAGTCACTTTCTATGTTTCACAGAACTCCACAGGAAGGTTTTTGGTAATTTTATGTGGTTGGGTTGACATTATTGCGCTCAGCAAAACCTTTTGGTTTTGGTAGAGAATTTTAGCCCAATAAACCTTATACAAACACACTATAACCCATGTCCCCAGAGCAGTGTCTGTGTGTTCAGTTCTGGTGGCTGCTCTGCCTGTCTGTGCATGTCCATTTAGTTCTAGAACGGTCTAGAATTGATATATCACTAAAACCTCTTGGCAGTGGATTTGTTGACAATCGGTTGCCATGGCGACGAGGGAAGCTTCTCGCCGGAGATGTTTGTGCTCTGCCAGCCAATCAGAGCGGTCGCTCCGGGCCACGTGACGCAGGATCCTGATATCCTATTGTAGCTGCAGGCTCTCACCCTGGACTTTTCGCTGAGCAGCTGAAGCCGAGGCATCTCCCACATTGGTGTCCCCTGACAAGCGGCACAATGTTCGGCAGCCTGCTCAGAGACTTCGAGGAGGACCCTTTTTTCTCGTGAGTAATCCTAGCCAGGCTGATCTGAATGTGGACAGTGGCAGAAAGTGTGCTCCATCAGCTGTGGACTATAACTCTCAGCATCCAGGGTTTGGCTGAGCATGACGGATGTTGTTCAGAGTTACTTATGTCAACCTATTCTAGTATTACATTGTGTATGGGAAAATTATGTTTAAATCCCACTCAGGGTGTATGGGTGTGATTATTATCAATATAATTATTATATATATGTGTGTGTTTGATTCTTAATATTATTATATATGTATGTGTGGGATTTATTATAGATATATATTATATGCATGTGTGGGATTTTTATATGTATGTCTGGGTTTTGTTATTATTATTATTATTATGATATGTATGTATGGGATTATTATATATATACATTATATTTATGTGTGATTATTATATGTATATATTATTATTAGATGTATGTGTGTGATTATTATATAAAATAACTGTGTTAAATGTCTGCTAGGCTGCTCAGTCTAATGACATGTATCTTTTGCTAGATGCCATAGAAATATTATTGCACTATGAAAAGCCTACAACTCTTTTATTTGTCGATATTTATTTTGTCAGTTATATTTTGCTGTTTGACCTCATTTTATAGTTATAAAGAACTGCTGGATTCCTCTGCACTGTATACCTGCTAATAACAGACATTTTAAAATCTATTTATTTATTTAACCTATTTGTTCACGAGAAAGGAATTGTGGCCATTATTGGAAGAAGAGCACAATGTGAATAATTGTAAAAGAGAGACAAAAAGTTTAGAAGCCAAAAATGTCTGTTTAAGATCCAGGCCTGAAACATGAATGTGTAACTGCTGGAATCCAGGCTTTGGATGCATGAATAACAGTATCTGTTTCTCATCAGTTTTAATTGTAACACAGAGATCATGATCTCATACATTATGTCATAGTTATGTTTCTGATCTTGTTGAAAAACACTTGTAAAAAGCCGCTTTAATTTGCTCACAAATATTTATGAACATAATTACTTTTGAAAAGTTGAATTATTATTTGAAATCAGTAATTGCTCACTGCTAACTCTGCCAGGAAGGATGTGTAGGTACAATACTTTGCACACTGAAGGGGTGATTTACTTGGATTTTAGCAGTATGTGGCAGGTATACTTTACACTAGCAGCTCTTTGAAGGCCTCCTGCCATGACCATAACAACAAGTGGTTTGGTGCTGTCATTGACTGACCCTGATTTCTATATACAATGAAAATAATAGTCGCTGCTTTGAATTGTGTGCTTATTTTTGGGTGATGTGCATTTTTAGACTTAAAGTAGAATTGTTACTTCTCAGGATTTTTATTAT